TTGTGTTCCAAGGGAATTGAAAACTGCAATTAAGTGACCTTTTGATAGAAAGACACTCCAATAATGTTCAGATTTTATGGGCTCTGCATTCTGAGAAGCATACCAACTGTGCAGATTTATTTTCTCTGTAGGTATTCCTATGGGTATATTGCTATAATTTCACGTTCAGTCTCCCCTGGCTTTACTTAACTTGTGGCACAAATACTTTAGCCTTCTTGGGCTAAAACGTAACTCATTCTAGAGTCTGTCAATGCCTCTGTAGGCATTAGATAGTGCAAGTAGCTTGTGAGAGGTAGTGTACATTCTGGTCAGGGGTTACCACTCTAAATTGGTCCTGTCAGTTAAAGAAAGATAAGAAACCTTTCTGATGGAAATGTATCAGTATGGATTTGTTTTTCTTTTGGGGATTCTATATTAATGACCCCTCCCCCCCCCACCTTCCATATACTAACCAACTTATAGCATAGCCAATTCACTTTGCCTCCAAAAGACCATATTAGATATAACTTGCAGCTAGCACAGAAGCATTATAGCTTGCTCTGGCCTGGCCCAATGGAAGCAGACCAAGTTTTGCCCACTGATTATAAAGATTCCTCTGAGCAGGGTGCTCAGGGGCAGATCCTTGCCCAATATGAAGTACTAATGCTTGATTATTGAGCTATTGGGTTTTACAGAGCTTGAGGGTGTGAGCCCAGTAATCTTGTGACCACATATTTGACAGTGATGCTAGGAGTTCTCAAATTCTCCTTTCAGCCAAACATCTTTACATGAATGCATGGCTAATTTGATTGAAAGCAATAAAGGATTGTCATGCACTATTTGAGGTGAGAGGGTACGTCCAGAAAAATCTCTTAGGAAAGTTCAGGGCATGGTGGGGTTTAGGCATATTTCCCAGCATCCCAAGACAATTTTAACAATGGTTAAATATTAATTTTATCAATAAGGAGGGTCGTTGAGTTTTGACATGTACATTTGGCTTCTATGTTGACTGCCCTCAATACAATCTCACTTGGATAATTGTAGGCCTCACCATTGTCCAGAAAAAGAATCTCTAGTGGCCTTTTTAGGTTTGAGGGCCTGTCTCATAAGAAAAACATGTTGCTTTCTACCATGAAGCAAATGTAATAACACATCTAGACTACCCTCGGCTTCCGAAAGAAGATATGCAAATTCACACCAAATTTGCATATCTTCTTCCAATTCATTTTTCGGAAGAAGTTTAAAAAACAATCAGTCTAGACAGAGTTTTTCATGCAAAACCTCCCCTTTTTCAAAAGATCCCTGTAAACCTCATTTTTTGAGGAATAAGGGTTCTTTAAAAAAGGGGGGGGGCTTGTGAAAAAAACCCCATCTAGACTGCTTTTTTTTTTTCTTGAAAAACCTTTTCTGAAAAAGGGATTGGAAGAAGATATGTGAATTTGAGCCAAATTTGCATATCTTCTTTTGGAAGCCAAGGGTAGCCTAGACATGCCTTAAGAGAAGATGGATAGGCCCTGAGCCCTCTGAATTTATGTATTCTAACAGGGCCATACACCAATGAGGCGCATCTAATGAAATATTGTACATAGTTAAGATGGATGGCCAGAACTGCTGGTTGTCTAAAACAATCTGTATTTAAAACCACAGAATTTTTTTAAAGTCTCTTGCTTTAAAGGAAGCTATGCCTTCTGCAGTACGTTGCTATGCAGTCTTGAAAACTAGAGTTTCTAGAGTCTCTGAAATGGACGCTAAGTGGAATGATTGGATAACTCCACGACTGAGCTTTCTGTCAGTTATCACAGATTGGAAAGACCATTACTGAACTGTAAGCAATGGTAAAGCATCATTGGAGCATGGGGACAAGATGACGTGAAGTAAATCCTTAGCTTTGACTGAAATGCATACGGCTAAAGTATTGTATATCTGTCTGTCAGGAACTGCTTAACTGGCTAGAAGCAGTAAGGTTAACAAGTAAAAGCTGAGTACATAGAAACACTATAAAATGGATCTGATTTGACTTCTGACCTTACGTTTCTCTTGACTGGGTAGTGTTTTAAAGAGAGCGAGAGAGAGAGAGAGAGAGAGAGTGATGAGTGTAGGAAAAGCAGATAGACACACAGGAAAAAAAACAAGAAGCAGCCTCTGAACTTGGTGTGTGACCCTTGAAAAAAGCTAGAAAGGGTTTTTTTGGGGGTGTAAGTGTCTGGTATTGGCTACAGAGGCTTGGGGCTGCCAGCTAAGAAATTACTCTTTTGTTTTTGGTTCCTCCTGCATGCAGATTCGCAGGACATTGTTCACTATATTTGTATCTAAAGGCTTTCGCAAACAAAATACCAGACTCTTATAATTTCTGTTCCTAACTGGTACATCACCATTAGTAAGCTGAAAGCCCCATTAATGTTCCTGAACTTTGGTTAGCTGCTGAGTCAAAAGAGGCAGCACAAATGCGGGAGAAAAACTGTGGAAAGGTCATAAGGCAAAGAGAGAAAAGAGAGTTTGTTGGTGTCAGACTCCATGAGGACAAGTAGTCAGGGCTGCTGCTTTGCAAAAGGTCATGTGGACTGTGTGTGTTAAGAGAAGCTAATCCCCAGGAGTGGAAAGCAGGCTGTTTTCTCTAACTCTGAAGCATTTTGCAGCAGGTTAGTGATAGTGTTAATCCACCGACAGGAAAGGCCTAGTTGTGTTAATTATAGAAAGGGGAAATTGGGAGGGAAAATATTTTTTATTTTAATTGTATATTTTGAATGTTGTTTGATTGTAGCTAAATTGTTTTAATTCAATTGTCTCAATTGGTATGATTCACCAATTATTCTTTTATTTAAATGTGATAATGGTGAAAAGAGTTAGTTTTGTTGTGCTGTTCTCAGTGTTATGTTTTCTTGTAACATGTTTTCAAAGATACTCTATATGCTTAAAGGAGTGGTTAGTTAACTAGTTAGCTGACTAGCTAACGGTGGGTGTGTCTATACTGCACCATTATTTCAAGAAACTAGTGTTATTTTGAATAATTTCAAAATAACTGAGGGCTTATTCCGAAATTTGTAAATAATGTCTATTCTAAAATAGCTATTTATAAACAAGGCATGTGCAGATGCTCCATTGCTGCTATTTCAAAATAGTCCCTCACCAGGAACATTCTACGTTATTCCTCCCCACTGCTTCCTGGGACTCTAAATTGAGATAGCACGTCTACATTAGGGAAGCCTGCCTCAGACTAATTTTGAGGCTTCCCTGCAGATTAGATGTGCTATTTTAAATAAGCTATTTTGGAATAACTGTTCCGGAATAGCTTATTTCAAAATAGCTGTGACGTGTAGATGTACCCTGAGTGATTTCTTCAGAGGAGGAGGAGGAAGTGTCTGCATTCATTTGAAGTGAAGATTTCTACAAGCAAGTGGGAGAAATATGTTGCTCTTGCGGACTGTGCAGACTTCTGTTTCTGTGGAAAATGGCCTGTTTAGATTTAATTTTTTTTCTTTATGTTATGTATAACTGTGAAAATAATGCATGTGAATTATAAAGTAGCCATGTTAGGTTTTAAAGAAATAAGTTGTAGCTATTGATTATTAATTATTATTATATTTATCATAAGATTTTAGAAAGTTAGTACTTAATTTTTAAGTTCATCCTTTTTTGTGAGGGGAGGGGCCTTCAGTGTGGGAAGGTTCACCCTGTGTAATCCTGGCTGAAAATCCTTTAGACTGAGATTGAATTCTTTGGTAGTTGAGTTTTTAGGTACTGAGGAAGGGTAATAAAGTAAACTTTAGCCTACCTACAGGTTATACTTACACATTGCAAAATCATATACACTCTAATTTTACTCCAAACCCATCAAAATACAAATTATTGGGGAAATGTATTTTTGTTTCTATTATTTTTGCTTAAGTAGCAGTAGTTATTTGGTCTCTGAAATTAAGAAAAATGATGTAATGGAAATAAAAAGCTGTAAGTAATAATATAAGATGGAACGAAAAAACATTGAGTCTGCATGTAGGTAAAATACAATTATTAGACAGTATAATAGCCAGCGGATAGAAGAGGTGACTGTTTCTGTAGCTTCAGGGGATAGCCAAGTTAGTTGTCTCAGAAAAACAAAAACAAATGGTCTGGTAGCATTTTATAGACAAACAAAACATGTAGATGGTATCATGAGCTTTTCTGGGCACAGCCCACTTCTTCAGATGACTGGAGTTCTGTAGTATGATTTAGTTCAAAATAAATTAGAACACATTGATGATGCTAGACAAACTATCTTGGTGTTGACAGGGAATAAAAAAGAGACATGTAGACTAAAACGGTGGCTTCACTTATTCATTCTATGATTCTGTCTGGGGCTATAGATAAAGCACTACCTACAATAATATTTGCAGATCTGCCACTTGCTGTGTGTCTCTTGGAAAGTCACAGCTCCTCTCTCTGCTTCAGTTCCCCATCTGTAATATAGAGAATATAATTCTGTCTCTCGCTATGCTGGGAATGGGCAAGCCTACCTGATCCTACTTGATTCCAGCTAGCACAATTAGCAATAGCAATGCAGATTGTACAAGATGGGTCATATGAGCCCAACACATTGTACCTTAGGAACATATTCAACTTGTTAGCCCATGCTGTGCTGGCTTCAGGTTAGCTTGGGTAGGTCAGCCTGTGCACAGCTTTTGGGGTATAGTCATTCCCTCTGGGCATTGTGAAAGTACATTAATTTATGTTTAAGATGTGCTCAAATACTAGATTGATGAGCAGAAGAATAAAGCATATTAACAAACAACAAACTTTAAACAAACCAGTTTTCAAGAAGATTTCTTAATATCATTATTAAAAGTCACAGCTTTAGTTTTCCAAACATGCCCCTCTAAGTACTCAGAAGGAAATTTACCTTTGTCTCAATTGCCACACTTACATGCATGCAGCTGAAATTATATTACACAACCCTCTGCAGTGTTAGGCTTTGTGAGCAATTCAGAGTAGATCATGGGTTACATAGTAAAATAAAATGTGTACCATTATAACTAAACAAAGCTTACCTTATTCAAGTCAAAGGTATTGAACACTTGATCAACATACGTATCTGCCTGTGGATTCAGACCATGCAGATCCAGAAGTGTCTTGAATTCATAGAGAGAAAGTTGCCCAGAAGGGCATTCTTTCATAAATTTGGTGTACAACTGATGGGTATCCGCAGCATTGATATCATCTACTGCTGATGTACTGGCTCCCATAGTATCACACAATAAAATCTTTCCCCCCCCCCGGTGTTTATTCATACACTTACGCTTCTCAGCTTCAGTGGTTTGCACCCAACTAGAATTCAAATACAAGCCCCATATCTAAAGAGCTAATGTAAACCTCTTATGAGACTAATACAGATACAAGCCAAGCAAAAATAGAAAGCTAAGTGAGATTACGTTTAGTACGCAGTTTTAAACCAGAAACATTTTGTAACATGTTTACAGACAAAGCAAATAGAGATACTTAAAAGATTATCTTGTCAAACTCCAAAGAATGTGATTTGATCCAGTAAGTTTCCCCCACTGATAAGTAAGGCAACTACTTGCAAAAATATGTTAGTATGTCCTCAAACTAGTTGTCTTTGTAACTCTTAAGGCCACACAAAAGTCTGATCCCTAAGTGGTTGTAACTAACAAGTACTGTAACTAATAAGAAGGGAAAGGTTAAGAAATTAATGGGCACATGTGATGTGAGGAAGTGTGAGATCTTAGACAGTAAAGATGTGGGAGAATGAAGCCTTTTCTAAACCAAAGTTCTGTTGGATGTACTTTATACAATGAGCACTATTCAGAACCCAGTTTCTTTGACTTCTAGTCTTCTAACACGGATGGATTCCAATGAATCCAACACTCTGCCCTGGTTTTATTCAGGGTCTCAGGTATCCAGTGGTGCTTGTATGTTGCCTCCATCATAATTTGCACATGCAGCTTGGATAGGATGTACCCAAACTGTGCAACACCCTTTAAAGGGATCTGGAAAAAAATATTAGACTGAAATTACATTTTATTTACTTAGCCACAGCTAAAAAGCCTGTAAACATCAGCTAAAATATAGGGGGGAAATGGACTTTGTAGATCAATAAAGGAATTTCCTGCCTCTATGGAGAGAGTGCAAATGTATATAATGGCTGATAGCACAACTGATGGAAAAAGGTGGTGATTTTATGGAGTACAAGGGGGGCTAAAATTGATAATCTGCGGTGTACTTTAACAGCTTCTATTAAACCCACAAAGCATTCACTGACACTAGCAATTCTACAAAAATCACCTCTTCCCAAAGCCACTGGTGATAGTGTATTACTACTTTTGTAAACAGGAAAAAATACAAAACAATAAAAAATGACTTGTGAGTGTGTGGCTGGATTAAGGAAATATAAGAGAACATTGCCAGTTTTGAGGGAGTTTAAATGATGATTTGGGATCAGGTTGTGTGCTGTAAACAACATGAAGCAATCGAAAGAACTGCCATCACCAGAGGCTCATGTGGCCCTAAAAAGTACATTAAAACTGCTTTATCAGTAGAGACAGTTAAGGATCCATAGATTCCAAGGCCACAATGGACCATTCTGATCATCTAGGGTATGTCTACACTTGCACCCTATTTCAAAATAGGGATGCAAATGAAGACATTCGAAATTGCAAATGAAGCCAGGATTTCACATTCCTGCACTTCATTTGCATATTCACATTTTGGCGCATTTCGAATTAGCGCTGTTTCAAAAAAACACATGCTGTTAAGATGCTGTTATTTCAAGAGAAAACTCTTCTCTCGAAATATCTGGTAAACCTCATTGTATGAGGAATAAGGGTTATTTTGAGAAAAGGGTTTTCTCTCGAAATGACGTGTCTACACAGTGTGTTTTATTTTGAAATAGCAACATTTCGAAATAGCGCCATAACACGATTATGCAAATGAAGCACAGAATATTTAAATCCCGGTTTCATTTATTTCAAATGTCTTCATTTGCATCCCTATTTCGAAATAGGATGCAAGTGTAGGCATACCCTTAGTCTGACCTCCAGTTTAACACAGACCATTATCCTTACCCGCAGAATAATTCAAAGAACAAATCTTTTTTAAAAACATCCCGGGATGGAAATCCACCACGAGTCTCAGTAAATGGTTCTAATAATTATTCTCACTGTTAAGAAATTACACCTTATTTCAGCTCTGAATGTGTCAAATTCTACTTCCAGCTATTGGATCATGTTATACTTTCCCCATTTGATTGAAGAGCTCATTATCAAGTATTTGTTCCCCACATAGATACTTATAAACTGTAATCAAGTCACTTTGTAACCATCTCTTTGTTAAACTAAACATATTGAGCGCCTTACGTCCATTGCTTGGAGGCATGTTTTCTAATTCTTTAATCAATCATTCTTGTGGCTTTTTTCTGCCATTTCTCAACATTCTTGTTAAACTATGAACACTGCTCCAGCAGGGCTAAATACAGAGGTTAAATAACCTCTCAACTCCTACTTGAGATCCCCCGATTTATGCATCCAAACATCGCACATGCTTCTTTATCCACAGTGTTGCACTGGGGGATTCATGTTCAGCTAATCATCCCTTTTGACTCCCAAATCTTTTTCAGAGTCATTGCTTCCCAGGATAGAGTCTCCCATCCTTTAAGTAAGGCTTACATTCTCTGTCCTAGATATATACAAAGCTTCAGGGGGTGGCCGAGTTAGTCTGTACAGGGAAAAACAACAAATGGTCTGGTAGCACTTTATAGACTAACAAAACATGTAGATGGTATCATGAGCTTTCGTGGGCACAGCCCACTTCTTGTGGGCTGTGCCCACGAAAGCTCATGATACCATCTACATGTTTTGTTAGTCTATAAAGTGCTACCAGACCATTTGTTGTTTTTTCCTAGATATATACATTTACATTTAGCTATATTAAAATGCATTTTGTTTGCTTGCACATGCTTACCAAGCAATCAAGATGACTTTGTATCAGTGACCTCTCTTCTTCATTATGTACAAATGCCTTAATTTTAGTGTCATCTGCATACTTCATCAGTGATGATTTTATCTTTTTTTCCAGATTATTGATACAAATGTTACATAAAATAGGGTCAAGATCCAGTCCTTGCAGGACCCCAGTGAAAACACATCTGATCCAGGACTCCCAATGTACAATTTCACTTTCAGACCAGTTAGATAGCTAGCTTTCTACCCATTTAATGTGTGTCATGTAAGTTTTATATCGCTCTAGAGTCTTAATCAAAATGTGACATGGTACCAAGTTAAACACCTTACAGATAACTTTGTATATTTTAAGAATGCTATTACTATGATCAACTAAATTTGTAATCTCATCAAAAAGATTTCAAGTTAATTTGACAGGATCTGTTTTCTATAAACTCATGTTGATCAGAATTTATTATGTTACACCCCTTTCATTCTTTGTTAATCAAATCCCTATCAGCTGTTCCATTATTTTGTCCAGGATTTATGTCATATTGGCAGGCCCAAGCACACTTTTAAATTATTGGCACAACATTAGTCTTCTGAACTTTCCCAGTGTTCCACGATGTATTGAAATTCAACATTAATGGTCTAGCAAGCACCTCACAGCTCTTTTAATACTCTTTGAAGCAAGATATTGAGCCCTACTGATTTACAAATGTCAGATTCTATTAGCTGTTCTAATTCTGTCCTCTTGAGAGACTAGTAGAATGGAGGATGCTAAAGAGTGGCAATAGCATTTGGAATCAAACACTCAGAGCATTTGGTCTTTCAATGCAAATAATTGTTGGATGACCCTTAGAGAAGTGGCAAGAAATTGGGGTACACACACAAACACAAAATCTGTAGGCTAATAGTAAAGCATAACCACTTTATGAGGGCAACACAGAAGGGTTAGAATCTTAAACTTGTCCTGAGATTGCTACAGCAACCATTTAACTTAGAAGACAGCAACATGTTATTTAAATTTATTTGCAAGTAGGAACAAAAGAAGTTTGACACCATACCTGCTGTTTTTGTAATTTCACAGCAGGTCTATTTCAACAAGAGAAGGCATAGAAAGTGTCCTACTAAAACATATAAAGGAAATTCTTACTCCATTGGGTGTTATTTGTATTATTTTTATAGAGTGACAGGTTCAGCTGGGTGCTACCTATTCTAAGATTAAAGATACAAAGATGATTGGTACTTTAAGTAGCAAACATTGAGTTTTAAATGCACCCACAGTAAACTAAAGGTTATTGAACTCATCTAAAAGTTGTATCACTTTTATTCTTGCCTATTCACTTTCCATCTTTTCCCCTTTCCTCTCTCACAGCAGGGGCATTCTATTAATCTCCAAATCACCCTTTTTCTTTCCTCACATTTCCGCCCTTTTCTATTTATAGTTCTCTTGGAAAAGCATTATTTCCTTTCCTGTATTAACCCTGTATTAAGAAATGTACCATTTCTTTAGTTCAGCTTTCCTTGCTTTCCCACCTTCCATTGTTTGCCGTGCTGGTGTGGCCATGGTGCCAGGATTTGAGGAAGACAAGATAGATGAGGTAATGTCTTTTATTGAACCAACATTTTCTATTCCTCTGTATTCCACTGCCATTCTTTGCTGCTCCCTAATCATAGCACATAGAGAATTGATAACTAGTAAGTAGGGCTGTCAATCCCAGTTAATGCCTGTGAATAATTGAAAGAAAAATTAAGGACTTCATTTTCTAATATGTTAATTGCACATATGCGGGCTTGGCAGGAGGCACCAGATAGAGGGCACTGAAGCAGCCCCATCCTGAAGCTTCCGAAGTAGTAGTGGGGGGGCTGGAGCAACTCCAGTCAGCAGATTCCTGGGTGGCAGGGGGCAATGGAGCCCTGAGGGAGCCTGCACCCCAAGGGAGCCTGGAGCGCTAAGAGGGCCCACATCTTTATGCCCCAAAGGAGCCCAGGGCCCCACAGAGGGCTGGAGTCCAATCAGGGCTGAAGCTTGGGACTCTCTGCCTGAGGAGGGGGCTGAATCCCCAAGCAGAGCTGAATCCTAAGAGCCTCCAACCCTGACATTATATTTTAAAATGTGGAAAACGACAACACTACAGAATCCCTAAGAGCATGGCTAGTTTGTAGTGGGCCTCCGAGAGCAACCTTCCACGTGTAACACTGTTGGAACATTACGGCAGGTTGCCCCTACCTAATAAAGCGGGGGAGGGGAGATCAAGAAGAATCAAGAGTTTTTTTTTTTTTTAAAGAATGAGAAAGGCCACCACACAGAGTCCAGAACTG